TGATTTGAAATCTAATGAAGCAACAGATATTTAAAATTTAAACATGCTCATCTTTGATCTTGCAACCTCACTTTGTGGAATCCTATCACAGAAATAGATGAACTAGACATGACAAGGATGTTTCTGGCAGTACTGCTCAGAGTATAAAACTCTGCAGGAGTCGAAGCAAAGCTACTGAATATCCTTCAGTAGCAAAATGGGGTATTTGGTGGGTATTTACAACAATGAGGGTTTTTTCCCCTTTTAGTGACATTGTATTTACACTGCCCGTGGTCAGTAGAAGGGAAGAAAACAAGACAGGGTATATGAGGTGTGTGTTGCTTTTGCTGGCCCCAGGGCTCTTCACCATTTCTGGTAATGGCTATGTGGCTGGACTCCCACATAGTTGACCGCGGTTTGCGTCCCAGACCTGGTGGCTTAAACTCACACTGGGCACGTGTGCGTGCATGCCCAAGATCCCGAGAGGAGAATGGAGGAGAAGGGATTGTGGCGTGACCATCCCCCCTGGGGGGTGATTTCTTGCTTTCTGTCTCTATGTCTCTCTCTGTCTGTCTGGCGAGCGCACGCGCCCTATAGCAAAAACCTCTCCAAAAAAAAAAACAAAAACAAAAAACAAAAAAACAAAACAGAATGTGGGATCCTGTTGGGAGCCTAGCCTCAATCCGGGTATTCCCATGACATGGCCTAGATAGCCAGAGTTGGAACACTCTTCTGGCCGCAGGGACTGTCTCAGGGCTGGGCATTGGACTCGATCAGAGGCAAGGAGAGCAAGATCTCCTAACTTTTGTTGGTCCTGTGGGAAGAGAGGCATAGTCTTCTTCCCTCTCAGTTTCAGAACTGAAGATGGGCACCTGGGACTGCAGCACCCATCCCAGCACCACAAGGGGAGACTCGCTTACCAACCAACTAAGGCAGAGCAAAGCGGAGCTAAGCGGAGCCAAGCCAGGTGCAGATGGAAGTCCCTAGCTCCAGCTGTTCTTAACTCCTTTTCAGTTATGTGAACCATAAATCCCCTTTTTAACTTAAATTGGCTTCTGCTTCTGTTCAGATTAAAAGATAGGATAATGTGGATGATTCTATAAAACAAATATTTTATAATTATGCATCTGTGTTTGGGTAAATGTCCATGGACATATGTGTTTGCTGTGAAGAATGTACACTAGACTGTTAACATAGGTTTCTGGGGAGATGAGCAAAGGGGACATTCATAACTTGTCCTTCGGGACCAGCAGTTAGCGTAATGGCTGTGTCACTGAACTCCCATGTAGTCAACCGCGGTTCGAGACTCGGACCCGGTGGCTTAAACTCACGTCAGGTGCATGTGCGTGTGTGCCCAAGATCCTGAGAGGAGAATGGAGGAGAAGGGATTGCGGCGTGGCCATCCCCCCTGGAGGGTGATTTCTCACTTTCTGTCTCTCTGTCTCTCTCTGTCTTTCTGGTGAGCACACGCGCCCTATAGCAAAAAAACCTCTCCAACAAAAATAAACAAACAAAAAAACTTAACTTGTCTTTGTAGACCTTTGTAATATTTTAAAAAGAATTATGTGTTTTATGTATCATTATTATTATTATTATTGTTTTTAATTTGCTGTAGTGCACATGCAGAGAGAGACAGAGGGAGAAAGAGAGGAAGTGAGAAAGCAAGCCGCCAGGTCTAGGACTTGAACTATGCCACTTACTGGCCCCCACCTCTGTAATGTTTCACCTGTACACGTGTGTATCCTTTCCATGTACGTCAGCCTCACAGGGCCTCGTGTTTTACTACTGTGCCCAAGTCAGGCTCAGTTCAGGCTAGAAAAACGAAATCTTTTTTTTTTTTTTTTTTTTTTTTAGGACAGTTTTGGGCTAGCAGGTGGTGTGATGGTTAGGGGCTAGACCATACATGGCTGACTCTACACTTTGAGTCCTGTACCTGGGGGCCCAAAATCACACTAGGCACTCAAATCCTGAGAGAAAAACTGAGAATTGATTGCGCGTGGCCATCCCCGGGGGGAAGGCTGTGTGGGGGGTGATTTCTCATCACCTATCTCTGTCTCTCTCCAGTGAGCACATGCACCCTACCGCAAAAAATGTAGAAACAAGCAAACAGTCTTTCGATTGTTCTGGAACTTGCTCAAACCCAGGCCTCAGGTCTTGCCACAGCTTGGTTCTCCCCAGCTTTCCAGCCAGCCGGAAAGCAACCAGTGTGCTCAGGTCAGCCAGGGAGCTGAATTCCGGGCCTGCCCACATGGCTCCAGTATCGTGCAGTAGCGCCTTACCATCTGAAAAAAAGAGGCCACTGCCACGGGCCCTCTTTACACATTTTAAAAATGGGTATTGCATGTCTTTTGAGTTTTTCCAAATATCAGATTTTCTGGAGTAGGGAATGATGTAAGTGACTTGAAAAAAGCAAAAGCACTTAAACTTGAAACTAGAAAAAAATTGTAAATAAAATAATCCTATTTATTAGGTGATTGAAAACTAGGAAAGCTTTGCAGGGTAAATTCTTGATTTCAGAAATCAGCATAACTGATTATTATTGGTCTTTATATCTTGATCTTGAAATTAAATGATCAATTCTCCTCTGAATGTCCTTTTTTCTAGCTAACCTGACGTGCATGTGACATTAATCCAATAATACTGAAGCATAAGACACAGAACTTTTCCCTAATGATTGACATATACTCCCACCCGTGCGAAGATAAGAAAGTATTAAATTATTTCACTATTGACCTGGAAATCTGTCTTTCTTAGATTCTAATTCTGAGTTAATAGACTAATTATAAGTTCTTATCATAATTTATTTTGCATTATGTTTTAAGTGGTTACTTATGCCGATATTTGGGACATTTTACCATGCTAGTATCTTTTATTTCTTTCCTTCTTTTTTATTACAAGAGAGCACTTGTGTTTGAGAGAGAGAGAGAGAGAGAGAGAGAGAGAGAAAGTGCATGATCACACCCCCTAATGGGGCATGGTTACGCCACAATCTTTTTTCTTCCATCTTTTCATCCCTCAGGATTTGGGGCAGGCTAGCACACAAGCCGGGCATGTGGGATTCGAACCGTGGTTGACCATGTGGGATTCGGCTCCCAATGCATAGCACTTAATCACAGCACAGGGCCGGCCCTCGTTTCTTAATTACAAATGTAATCAAGTGTCTGAACAGCCTAAATGATTTAAACACTTGACCTCAGTTTCGTGAAAACACAATTTGGAGATGTAGGTGTACAGTGTTTACATCTGCATTATTTAGTAAGATGGTTTTTTTCTCCCTCTGGGAGGCTGGGGAATGAGGAGATCAGTGAGTCTGTTGATGAGAGAGTGCAGGGACAATAAACGGCTGCTCTGCCCCTGACTGGCATTTCGCAAGCCTCAGTCTCACAGTCCATTTCAAATCCATAAAAGGTCATTTACCTTCTCTCGCAAGCCTTTAACTCACTAGAGAGATGGACTTAGACAAAGATAAAGCTCCTGTGAATTGGTAACCCGGCTTTGGGGAAAGACTTACACAGTAACTAAGGTGTTGAATAAACAGACGCTACCGCTTGTGTGCAGAGAAGTCTCGCGGTTCGGATTACTCTATCAATCATTTCTTCATAACGCATTGTACAGCCTCGAAACTCTTGCAAGGAAAAGGACCAGGTTCAATGTAGCTAAAAGTTGAGTTATTTCTTTGAATTTAGGTATATCAGATTAGTAGATTGTTTTGTTTCTACAAGTGCAGGATTCCAAGTTGATAGGCAGAAATGATGATGTCTGTTAGCAGTTTACAGATAAAAAGGGTGCTTGTAGCAGGCTAGTACTTCTAACGTACCGGGTATTAAATATTATCCATTAAATCCTTCAAAATAAAACTGTTGACAAATGATAGTGACTGAAGGAAGTAAATACCCTCCAAAAAGGCACAATAATATGTAAATAAGTTTTATCTTACAAAATGCATCCTATAAGAGAGCGTAATTGACTTTATTGATTTACAGTAGAGTCAACATTCTTGTAATGTAAAATTCAGTAGGTAACTTAGACATTAAATTTTAAACTCAGAATCATCATCAATCTTTTATTTAGATCTGATAAGCTTCTGGGATTGTTCCAACAGTGGAATCTGACGTAGAGCAATTCACCTTTAAGATATTATGTACTCTTTTACGAACCTATAAGCAAGTACAGTACTTACTATAATGGAAATAATGTACAATGAAAAATTTTTTTTCACTTTGCAGTAGAGTAAGGATTAGGCTGCTTTGACTAGCAGCTTATGTTTTTTTTTTTTTTCCCTCAGCTTTATTAACTCCAGCCAAGTCCTTAATTTTTATGAACAGAATTGAAAATGCTGTTCTTTTAATCTTCTGAGTTGAATTCTGGGTCATGCAAAGATTAAGTGAAGTGACTCCAAATTTAAAATCCTATAATTACGGAATGTCTGTTTAGCTTGGTGCTTGGTCTTCTTTTTCTCTCTCCTAGGTCGCAAAGGGAGCTTTCTGAATGACAAATCAGGAAAGCCTTGGCTTGTTTATCTGCGGCAAGGCAGACAGATTTGAAGAGGCCATCTCTTTAGCTACCATTTGTTTTGTTTAATCTGAGATTAGGCCTAGGTTTACACACACCAAAACCATCTACTCAATTTAGATTGGACCGGATTCTTGAAGACAGCATTACTTGATGGTAGCTTTTTTTCTATTTGACTCTTCAGAATGGTTTGTGATCAGGGGAGGAAAAAATAATTTGAGGACATAGTTTTGGAAGAAATAGGGATATCTACAAATTAATCTAACTATGTACTAGAGGACTTCCAACAGCAGTATCTAGCCTTAACTGATTTTTACAGAAGCTCTTAATCATTCCTCTAAAGATCTCCTGGCTGTATTTTTACCACTGACCATCACCTGGGAAGACCATGTGACTCATTACTATAATGACCTGTGGAAAGAAAACCCCAGGGGAGGGAAGACTAAGAACTTCAACCTCCCTTCTAATTGGACTGTGGTAAAAAAGAAACTAGTCACAGCTGGAGCGAGGGGCCAGGAGGGCTGCTTGCCTGCCTGGGACAGCCTGTAGTCAGCAAAACTTTGCATCCACATCTGCGACCATTTCTGACAGCTAGATTGGGAGTTTAAATTGTGCAACATCTCATGGGGACTTAATACAGAACAGTTCCTTGATTCAAAATTGGACACTTCATTTTAAGAAAGATTGAGATGGCTAATACGACCTTCCCCGCCTTAGAGACGGTATCATAAATTAATCAAAGGTGCCAGTTTAATGCGATTTTTTAACTCTGATAAATGTAGGTGTCTTGGTGGTCCTTGAAAGTGGGAGAACATATCTGTCTGCTGCTTTTTCTGCTTGGAGACGCTGCCCGAGAAGGATGGCAAGTTGGATGGCAGGCGATCTGGGGGCAGGCAGACAATCTGACCTGCATTCACATTTTAGCATTCACATGCGTGAATTCACTAGTCCATTAGTTCACAGTTCCTGGCTAGAGGATTGGGAGCGTGAAACATACACTCTCTGTTACCCCTGAGGTTAAGTGGAATCAACAATATTGAGGGGACGAAGAGACATTGGAGCGACATGTGCAAAGTGCTTAGTATACGGTAGGTGCTCGAAGCTGTTGCTTTCCTTCCTCTTTCCCATCTGTCTGCCTGGTAAATCACTTACCCTTTAGGTGGACTCAACTATTCTCTTACCTTTCAGCTCTCAAGTCTCTTCTCTTTTGAGAATAGAAAAGTCAGACTGAAGTCAGGATAAGATTTCCATCTGGTCTTTGGAAGGCAGGGGATATGCACCTCCAAAAGACACAGAACAGTTGTCTTCAGACAGCTGGGGCGCCAGCAGAGGCTGGAATAGCAGACCACTGGGATCCTCCAAGTACCAGGCCCCGAGTCTGCAAGGGAAGCTTTCTTGTTTTTCTTCTGTATAATCCATTTATGAACTCTGCAAAGTCAACTGACTAATTAAAAAGCACTGCCTTCATCACTGACTTCCCAGCCTAATCATATCTTCATGGACAGATCTTCCCACTTGATTTGCCCTTTGGTCTAATTTTCCACTGGTTGTTTGCCTGATTAGGAAACTGGAGACATCGACAGAACCTGAGCAGTGTCCACTCCAACTGCTACCATGACTGCTTTTTTGGTGGACTTTCCTCCTCCCTGCCTGAGACATCAGGCCATCAGAATGACCCTCACAGTTCTGTGTAAGTTTCTGTCATGCTTTTATGAAGAAGGACAGCTAACTCAATATTTTAATTAGTTTTGCTGCCAGAATTCGATGATCTGTCACAGTTCTTGCTCAATACACCCAATCATTATTGTTCAAATGCTTTTTAGCTCTGTTTGTAGAATTGTTTTTAACTCATTGATTAACCCACCTCTGAGATCTCAACTTAGAAGTACAACTTCAGCAGTATTTTACTGTATTTTTATAATCCAGAGCAACACTATTGTATACTTACTAGTCAATGTAATTACATACATTTTTTGCAACTATCACCCAAGAATTTTGCTGTCTAGCCTATCGAGGAAAGTTTTTACTAGGAATCATCCTATCTTAAATCATCCGAGAAGGATGGTGAGTTGGATGGCAGGAGGACAAGCCAGGCAGACGACAAAAGCTCTCTGTTTCTTCTCACCTACAGATTAAGGATACTTGGCTCTAACTGACCTTGAGTTTGATGCTATGGTTCTGTCAAGTCTTCTATATTCACATCTGAATGAAATCATGTGTAGATGTTCAAAAAATAAACTCCTCACTTCTACTACTGGAAGTGTTTGCAAATCGTTCACATCCAACAATTCCTCTACCGGCCTTTGCATGTTGAATACAGCAACCTTTCAAATCAGTTCTCTATTGTGTCTATGATGTTATCATTCGATGGTATAGATCAGAGTTCCACACACTTTCCGTAAAGGGCCAGATGGTCATTTTTTTTAAGGTTTTTTAATTCCCACTCCCCCCCACCCCCGTAGGTACATGCACTTTCCAGAGAGAGCCAGTGAGAGGGAAAGTGAAAAATCAACCCCCCAGGAGCGTTGGCCTTGCTACAATCCCTTCTCCTCCATTCTCCTGGGATTTGGGGTGTGCACACACACACATGTGCCCGGTGTGATTTTCAAGCCACTGAGTCCAGGTTGCAAACTGTGGTCAGGCTTGTGGGAGTTTAGCACAGTAACCATCACGTTACCCACTGGCCCTGACAGTACATGGTTTAGGCTTTACAGGCCTCAGCTTCTCTGTGGCAACCCCTCAGCTCTGCCACTGCAGCACTAATGTAGCCATAGACAATACATCAAGGAGCCAGCATGGCTGGGAGCCAAGTTAACTTTATTTATGGACTCTGAAATTTGAATTTCATGTCATTTTCACATGTCCTGAAGAGTTATTTTTCTTTTGATGTCTTGGAACCATTTTAAAATGTAAGAACTATTGTTAGTTTGTGGGCTATACAAAAAACCGGCAGAGGGCTAGTTTTGTCCTGTGGCTATAGTTTTCTAACTACAGTGTAGTTGATGGCCAGGAGCAAATCCAAGTTTTGTGGGGACTGAAGCCTTTTATCATTAGAAATGCCCTTTAAGAAAAAAAAAATGATACAAAATTGCAAATATAAAACTAGGTATGGTGCTTTGAAAGACACCCACACAAATAAGAGACCCTACAAAATGAGCCTTCGGGGATCCTGGTGGATCTGCTCCTGGTGATATTTGGCTGATTCTGCTGCAGAGCTTCCCGTACCTGGCTGATGGCTGGAGTCACCAAGACAGCTTCTCTAACTTGCAGGTTCCAACGCCCCAATAGATTGCCTGAATCAGGAGCTCTGAGGACAAAAAAGTGCGGGAAATCAGCTGTCTTAAAAGCTCCCTAGACGGAACCAGCAGGTGTTGTGGTGGTTAAGGGAACTGGACACTCCCACATGGTCGACCATGGTTCAAGTCTCAGACCTGGCAGCTTACTCTCTCTCTCTGTATCTCTCTCTGGTCAAATTTTAAAAATGAATGAATGAATGAATAAATAAAATAAAATTAAAAAAACTCCCTAGATAATTCTACTGTTCATCCAAGTTTGGCAACTACTATTTTTCTTACCCTTTTCTTACAGCTAAAACTCCACTAAGACTAGTACCATCGATACATTTACTGCCTTAGGTCACTTGCTCAGAAATAAATTTTAACTCTTGCTCTTGATCCGTACCCTAAACGTTCAGTTTTATCCAGAATGCTCTATTGTTAAATGATCCCAACAGAATATGTATATACATACACTTATGCCGTGTCACCTTGTCTCTTTCTCTTTCTTTGTAGTGAGAGTTAGTTATTGCTGATAATAAACCAACTCATTATAATTTGGATGTGGTTTAATATTTTAATATATTAAACTTTCTTTTTAAAGCTATTGATAATTTTTTAAAAATCTTATATCTTTTGGGACCAGCAGTTAGCGTAATGGCTATGTCACTGGACTCCCACATAGTTGACCGTGGTTCAAGTCCCGGACCCGGTGGCTTAAACTCACCCTGGGCGCGTGTGCGTGCATGCCCAAGATCCTGAGAGGAGAATGGAGGAGAAGGGACTGAGGCGTGACCATCCCCCCTGGGGGGTGATTTCTCGCTTTCTGTCTCTCTGTCTCTCTGTGTCTGTCTGGTGAGCGCACGCGCCCTATAGCAAAAACCTCTCAAAAAAAAAAAATCTTATGTCTTTGAGTTGGCATATATTTAGATCATTTCAAAGTAAATGAATAACTGTTGAAGACTATCTGCTGCTCCTGTCACCATAGTTAGGAGGGTTAAGTTTATAAATCAAGGCATTAAAGTAGTAGCTGAGTCACCTGTTATTGATGTATTAATCATCAAATATGTAGAAGACTGTTCTCAGATCCCTGTGAGGATTTTGCAGTCTTCGTGTTGTTCAAATGTAATACCGTTCCCATTTTGTGCAATATCTTCTTGGTCAAAATTGACTAGTTCTACCTATCTAGAATAGATCAATATGCTACTGTACTGTTGTATTTATTTTAGAGAGACTTTTGCTATAGGGCACGTGTGTTCACTGGGGAGACAGAGACAGAGAAACAGAAAGTGAGAAATCATCCCCCGGGGGAATGGCCACGCCATCCCTTCTCCTCCATTCTCCCCTCAGGATTTGGGGCACAAACCACATGCACCTGGTGTGAGTTTTAAGCCTCTGGGTCTGGGTTTCGAACTGCGGTTGATTACGTGGGAGTCCAGTCACATAAACATTCCGCCATCTGCTGGTCCCGTGCTGTTCTATTTTTGACAAGACATGGAACAGTGTTATTTTCAGTAACAAATGCTTTGTAGTTGCCAGTAATGTCAACTGGAAGTTTTATTTTAAGGTTCAAGAAAATATGTTTCAACATTTTCATGTTACCTTTACTACAAGGACTTAAGAATGAAATATTTCAGTGCAAACACAAATGCTTCTAATTTTGTTGACCTGTCAGAATACATAACTATTAACTCTCCTCACTCAGAAGCCCGGACTTGAAGCAAGGTACTTTCTGACGCGTTGATTTAAGCTGTCTCTGGGCAGCATTGGCATAAATA